AGACAGAGACAGAGAGAGACAGACAGAGACAAAGAGAGAGAGAGAGAGAAAGAGAGAGAGAGAGAGAGAGAGAGAGAGAGAGAGAGAGAGAGAGAGAACAGTCAACAGTCACCCTGAATGAGAACAGCAGGGAAACAAGATCCCCAGAGAACCCCTGCCATGGATTACAGCATGACATCTGTCATCCTGAGCCTCAGCACAGTAGGTCTTGGGTGATTTCCTTCTCATTTAAAAGGCCTATTAGGAAAATGGATGGATTCTGAAAACATAAGCTAAGTAAAATAAATCAGACACAGATGGTTAAATATTGCATGGTTTCTCTTATAAGGAAAACCCGAAACATAAATAATTTAAAGACAAAGTCAAGGAGTGATGGCAGTAAGCAGGGAGGAAGATGTTCTGGAGCTGAGAAGAGGACCTGAGGAAGGAAGGAGAGTGAAGGGGAGGAAAAATGATCAAGATATGATGTGTATAAGCCCCAGTGCCCCCAAAGAATGTATTTATCATGTATCACAAACATGTGGTACAATTAATTTTTAAAAGCCTATTATCAGCTTTATTAGCTCTTGTCATCACAAGGTCTCAAGGTTCCCTTCTTCCTCTCATGAAAGAGCTTGGAACTTAGGCAGGCATGTGTACCCATTGCTTTTTTTAATCATCAGTGAGAGTTTTGCTCAATAGACTTGTGGTAAGTTCTTGATTGCATAATCGTCATAATTTTAAGAAGCAAGAATATTGAGGAATTCTTCCTAGAATCTTATAAAGACTAGATAGATACTGCATAACTTAGAGTAGAGAGAGGTCTTCTTTGCAAAACATGTGAGAATCCTCAGGGAAAGTAACAAGGAACTAAAGACACGGCATCAAAACTCTACCATTGATAGGATAAACATAGCAAGAAAAGAAAGAATGCCTACTAGAAAGAAATGAAAGTATGTCATGGGTGGCTACATTTCTTGAATGAGAACAAAAGCAGAATAAAAACTGGGGTGGGGAAGACTTCATGTATTTCATTTTTCATTTGTATTCAGCTGTTCTATTTTACAAGTAGAGTGACAGATTTTCGGATATTAAAATAACAGATTCAAGCCAGCATGATAGCTCAGCAAACTAAAAAGCAACTGCTTAGGCAGAGTGCAGTGGTCAAGGTTCGATTCCTTGAGTGCCGTGCCAGCCCTGCCCATGAGGGGCACTGAGATGGCGATTGAGACTGGGCGTGGTGACATGCACCTGTAATCCCAGTGCTTGGGAGGCTGAAAACAGGAGAATCATTATAAGTCTGATCTACGTGGTGAGACCCTGTCGACCCTGTCCTAAATACAGAAAAAGTAAAAACTAGAAAACAAAAAAGCAGATTCCAAAGGAAACAGTGTTTCTTCCTTTTTTCAGAGATGTTAGAAATCCTTAAACAAGTCTAGTTGGGTTTCCTTATATGGAAAAAAATGGCTAGAAGAGAACTCAGTTGTCTCCATCTTTGTGTGTGTGTGTGTGTGTGTGTGTGTGTGTGTGTGTGTGTGTGTGTGTTTGCATGCTAGGCAAGTGTTCTATCAGTGAAATATATCCCAGCCCGTGGTCCCCGTGTTAGGGTAAAGCCCTGCCCTGCATTTTCCTACGCGAGCAGCCACGTGTCACCTGATACATTTCAATGTTTTCAGTGGTTATTGTCTCCTGCTTGTTTTGTATGTTTCATGTGGCTGTCATCTTTACCATACATATGTTCCCAGACTCCCTCGGTCTTTCTGAAGTAAGAATATTTGATTATTTCCTCTGCCAAGCTAGCTTATACAATAAGTCTTCAGGGGCTCGGTACTGTCTCCTTTGCTTTCTAATTTTGCTAGTAGCAGAAATAGCCTTTTGTCAGAAGTGAATATTGCATCTGGCTACATTGTCCACATTGATCATTCGGAAGGGAATTACCCAAATTTTATTACCATGTATCGCCTAGTATATTGATAAAGAATGACAAACACCACTGCAAATCCCCAAATGAAGTTAAGATATTTTCCCTTCAAAACAAATTTCATGTTTTGATACAACTAAAGATTCTGTCCCTTCAGGTAGCATTTCTACTGTTAATGTAGACTTGGCCATTAGTCTACTTAGAAATATTGCCATGAATCAAGGAGGAAAACCTTTTAAAGCCTTTATGCACTTGATTTAATGTTTGCTTTTTTGTTCAAAGAACAACCTTAGAATTATTTTCCCTTGATCATTTTGGTTACATTCATAGGGCTCATAAAAACAAAAGAGACAAGACACAAATTTTCTGCTGGTAGGAGATGTAACTTTGTCTAATGGGAATAATGCAAATGACTGAATTATTAATGCTTTTGGCATAAATCTAAAATGGTCAATAAAATTCCTGGCCCTGGGGATCCAAGGTATGTGTACAAATGGCTTTACCACAGAGACCCAGAATGCAATTCTCTATATATATCCAAATAAAACCATAAATTCCTGCATTATGGTCCTTCCCAAAATGGCCTGCTCTAGAAGATTTTACTAATTATACCCTATCCCTCTCACTAGAGATATGGTGATGGTATCTGATTTACACATAGCCAGGAAAGTGGACTGAGCCCTGTGGCATCCCGCCAGCTGGCTAGAGAGAGGGTGTGGGGTTGGGGAACATAATGAGAAAAGAGCAAGCTTCTCCCCAAGCTGTCCACAAGTTGCTTCCTTACCTCTTGGCTTTCATTCTATGTGGTGCCTCTTCTACCGAAAATGGTGAAATTTATCTACTTAACTGAATTTTAGTCTTTGTTTCATGCAACTCTCCATATAACACATGATAGTCATACTACTATAATTATTTATACATCTCATCCTGCAGCTAGTTCCCCATCCTACCCTACATACTGAACCCCTCGTGAGCAAGGATTAGGCCTTGTATTAGTGCTGTGCCTCCCCCACTTTGCATAATTTGACATTATACATAGTAGGTGTACAACAAATACTTGTTCAGTAAATGAATAAACACAATCTCTTTATGTCTTCTAGCCTTTAATGTCTTTGGAAACATATAAATAGGAGACTTAACAGTTTGCAAAACTATGTATTGATGAGCACAAGGTATTATTTGCAGTCTGTCAAGAATGAAACACTTCTCTGTAATGTTTATTTCCTTTAAGATAACCTTGAGACACATGGAGAAAAAAAACCTACAGATTGCTGTTTCCAAAATGTGTATTTATGCCTGCTAATTTTCTTGACTGAAAATGGAAATTTTAGCCATTATGATAAAACTGAAGTCATTTCTCTGTCAATAGATCAGTTCCTCATAAAACAATCGTTTGAATGTGCCTGCCTTTAGGTCTGAGACATGTATGAGGGGTCCTCATTGGTATAGGCAGTCTATGAACAGAAATGTCTGCTTTTTGGTTCCAGAATTCATCCCACAGGCATTTGGAATGCCTCTGTCCCAAGTAATTGCCAATGACAGAATCTATAAACTGAAGCAGGACTTGCAGAGGGATGAGCAGAAGGATGCATCTGATTTTGTGGCTTCCCTCCTGCCATTTGGAAATAAAAGACAAAACAAAGAACTCTCAAGCAGTAACTCATCTCTCAGCTCCACCTCAGAAACTCCAAATGAGTCCACTTCCCCCAACACTCCGGAACCAGCTCCTCGAGTTAGGAGAAGGGTGAGTTGGCCAGGATTGGATCTGACACTGATGCTACAAAATTTGATGATATAACAAGTTGTTCTTTGAGCTTTTCATCATGAGAAAACTGGGTATATTATGTTCATTCCATTCAGGGAAAATTTACACTTGGTGTATGGCAGGTTAAACAGCTTAAGACAACTTGAGGAGACAGTTGTCCTCTGTCTTCCCTTAAAAGCTGTTGGGTGTCCCTCCATGGTTACCCCGGCTCCCCATGGTATCCTGAACATTCTGCACTATTGACACTGACACTTTTCTACCATCTTCTGCTCTCTTGCTAGATTTTCCTTCCAGATGTTAAGGCTTGAGGGAAGGGTATGATGATTTTAATTCTTTATTACCAGTCTGAAAGCAAGATTATTCAGTCATCTTGGTTGTAGGCTTTTATAAGCAATCAGAGTTTTCCTTATCATTGGAGCATGTTCTTCCTGAAACTGAACCACAGACCACTATATGCAGTGTCTTTCAAATAAAGACTGTAATAATATGGCACCAATTATCAAGTGAGTACCATGTTCTAGGCACTGTGCTATTTGAGATTTCAAATTTGAATTTTGAAAAATTGAGGTTTGAGGGCACATTGGCTGGCAATTGGCTGAGCGAATGATGAACATCTATCTCTAAGACATCCTGGGTCACTGGGATAGCCCTCCCTTTCCTCTGGCCTGAAGCCCCTAAATCTTTGCTCCCTTCAGTCACTGAAGACTGCCTTAATTAAAACCGCTGACACATCCCATCTATAACCCATATTTCACAATCACCCAGCAACATCCAGAACTTCTGTAAGGTAAAGCAAGATTTGGAGCCCTGCTTTCCTTTATCATACTGACTATATTTAAAAATAAATGGCAAAATTATAAAGTACTTGAATTTGCACAATGAGTTTGTTCTCTTTAAGCCTATTGTCTCTCAGATTGCGTATAAACCCATATGACAGTGACAATGAAACTCAATTTGAACTTGCTTAGCATCTAATGCTAGGTGATGGATTTCCCAAATGCCTGTTCTCTCTAACTGCCCTGCTAGACACAATTAGCTAACTTCTCACTGTATTCTTCATCCCAGATGGGTGGCTGTAGCACACATGGTTACCACTCCTAGCATGTTAACTCCCTTTCTATCTCCCAGTGCATCTCTCTAAGAGGGATTTTTCTAATAGCCACAGGCTCCTGGCAGATATAAATTGCAGGTGGACCATGTCACCTCCTTCCCCTTCCAGGAGACTGTCTTTAGTCAGAGATCCCTGATACTTAATGTATAAACACCCAATTCTCTCACTCTTTCAGAGAGTGAGCTCTGAGATACATGATCTCTTCTGTGTCCTGGAGTTCCTTGGGACCCTGAATTCTAGCTCTCCACCATGCTGACAGGCTGCAAGATGGTCTCTTCATTGGCCGTTCTCCTTTCCCTGTCTCATTTGTCCCATGCCCCCCACAGGTGTTTTCTGAGATCATCTCCCTAATAAGGAAGTTTGTGTTGCTTCTGCGGTAAACTAAGACTGTTTTGTGGAATCTTCCTATCTTTAAAATCAACTTCTTAGAACCATAGTTGAGACTGTTTTTAATTTTTTCTCACATGACTTCAAACTTTACCTCATTCATTGAGTATGTAATTTTTTTTTCTTTTTTCAAGAAATGAAATGGGGGGCTGGGGAGATGGCTCAGTGGAATAAGCGCTTGCCTGGCAAGCACACGGGAGGCAAGTGCAAGGGCCTGAGTTTAATCCCTGGTTCCACCAAAAGAAAAAAAATGAAGTGGTTGAGTCAAAATGTTTTACTTATATGTTTGCCATCTTTGGCTTCCACTTGGAAAATTTTGTCTATTGTTAAATTTGTCACTGCCAGTACCTTGCCCTGTGTTGTACAAATCTCCTGGCTTTTTCAAAAAGGATTTTTTTTTCCCTTTGTTGGATGCAACGAAAACAGTTAATTAAATCAAGCAATATTATTTAAAGAGTGCTACTCATGGGCAAAAGCATTTACAGGGCCGGGTCTGGAGGCAGCTGTTTCTCTTTGTCCTTATGTTCAAATCTGTGCATCATTTTGCAGGGTGCCATGTCAGTGGATTCCATCACCGATCTGGACGACAACCAGTCTCGACTGCTGGAAGCTTTACAGCTCTCCTTGCCTGCTGAGGCACAAAACAAAAAAGAAAAAGCCAGAGATAAGAAACTCAGTCTGAATCCTATTTACAGACAGGTCCCCAGGCTGGTGGACAGCTGCTGTCAACATCTGGAAAAACATGGTGCGTAGATTGTGTCTCAGCCATCAAGTCGAGAATCATTCCTATAAGCACCCAAGTTCACTTCTGTGCTCCTTTGATAGGGTTTTGGCCTACAATTTCCTTTGTGAAGAAACTGTAACAATGTGAGTGTTTGCTTAAGAGATTTCTGAGCTCACCAAGATTGTTGGAGGGCAGAAAATTAGTTTCATGGTATTTGGATGCTCAGCCCCCAAGGGTCCTCAAGAGTTACGCTGGCCAAGCAGTTTAGGGAAGGGTTGGTTCTATTGGATTGGATCTGTGCCCAGGGCCTCCTTCAGACAGACCAGAGTCACTTATACCTTTTTATATATATATACATTGAGGTTACTTGTAGTGTTTCCTTTAAAAATAAGAGTTCAGCTTCTTTTAAAAAGAATTTGAAAATCATTGTTTAAGTGAATACAAAATACATAATTCTTACAATAAATTTGCATTTAACTATGTGTAGTTTTGTGGAAGATGCCTGCTTAAATTTTCTCCATGGCTAACCCTTTGCAACTCAGTTCTAGTTAATATGTTAACTTTAAAGTGATGGACAGTTCTTCACATTTAAAAAAAATAGATTTTTGACTCATCAAACTGCCATGACCATACTCTAAATTTGTTGGTTACAGTGTTAGCATGCATTTTATGGACATGCAAAAAGTTTCTCAAATGCTTCCATACACTAAAAAGAACACACTTATTGTAACTTTGCGAAGTAAAAAACTGAAAAAGAAAATTCTGAGGCTACTATGCAGACATGATTACTGTGAATATTTCTATCTCTGTAATAAAAATGAGACTTTATGAAAATGTTAGATTTCTCTAAATTCCTTACTCAAATTACATATGGAAAACAGCATATAGTCGAGTGTCTTAATCAAATTAATATATTTATACCTATTTGTTACAGAAAATTTTAAGTGTAGATTCTTTACTTTCTTTAGATTATTTTTCACATAAGCATATTTTACTTATATCCCTTTCCCTCTCTCTCCCTTTTTTTTCCCTCACCCTGTTACACATATAGATTTGCACCTAAATGTTCTTCCAAAGTTGGATTCTTTTCCATGCTTGCATGATATTTTGTCTAGATGGCTCCAGAAAAATTAGGGCCATGTTCAAGTTCAAGCAAATATTCTAACATTGGTTAGTTTAAACGAATGGAAAAAGAGCAACCTTCAGAAGCATTTCTTTCATAAAACTTTCCTTGCTTTTGTAATAGGAAAAGGAGGACAGAAGTCACTTCAGTCTTAAAAACATTTGTCGATGATTTTTTTTTCACCCTCTCTAACATTGGCCTTGGACAATTATATTCCTCTCATCTGTATATTGGAAGTACCCAATACTTCCTCACTTGTATTTCATTCAGTCCTTTCTATACTGTTATGTCAAAACTCCTGAAATATCCTCAATTGCCCAAAATTTCCATTTCCAAAAAGCACTTCCTTTTCCAAGAATCAGAAAAAAAAAATACCCGTATAACAAGAGAGTCAAATTATATTATGCCTCTCGAATTTAGGTTCATTTTGGGGTGGGGCCGATTGCTCATTGTGCCTGTCCTGGTTTCTTGAAGTTCTTCAGCTGACGCTGAGGTGAGTTTGGGTCCGGTTTCCATTTTAGTTTCTAATTAAAAAGGAAGAAAGATGATCACATCAATTTCTGGGACAGTACACAGCAAAGTTCCATTTCTTTCTTCAGATTGTTACCTTTTCAATGTCTACCTGTTTTTTAAGTGACTGTCTGAAGTCACAATTAGTGAATGCCGAGACTATATTTTGTCTTTGAGGAAAATCACTGTAGAGCTATGTCAGAAAAAAGCATTAGCTGTTTAAAGATCCTCATTTGCTCTCTCTTAAAAGAAATTACATTTTAAAGCCTTAAACTAAAGGAGTGTATAGGCAGTTGAAGCACAAAGGAATTATATCAACATCTAGTTATTAATAGTTATTCTTAAATCACAGTTTTAATGAATTGGAAAAATACTATAATTTATGAAATTATATCATAGACTTGGGCATTTCTGAAATGGAAATTCAGCCAAATGAATAACCTCACTCGTGTAGAAAATTCCCCATTTGAGGTCTCACTTCTGTAGAAATTCCAAATACTCAAAAACCATCTTAGAATGAGAAAGTGAGAAGCTAATTTAGAAATTGTTCAGAACTTTCTACATTGCCCACAGGAGACTCATTTAGTTCATTCAGGGATTAGTTCTTGCTGTATCATACTAATGCCAGGTACTATTCTAAGTATGCTATATGCATTAGTTAATTGGAGTTTTGCACAACTTTAAAGGGGTACACCTCAGGCTCATTTTAAGATAAAGAAACATAATTACGCATTGTATTCTAAATAGTGTACTTTTATTGTTCTTGATTTCCCAGCCAGATAGGACTAGTAAGTTAGTTTGAGGATCGACCTCAATTATGAGGTACACAAATCAATGCCAGTAACAAGGAGACAGAAGTCCTTTGAAAACAAAATCCCAACAACTACAAAACAAAAATGTGTGTTCCTATTCAAATCAGCAGTGACCTGCTCCTCACTGCAATTCTCTCAAATTATTCTAGGAATTTAGGATAACACATTTAAGATGCCTTATTGATAAATGAGACATCTGCCCATATCATCTTTTGTAATTAAAACCCCATGGAAAACCAGCAAGAATTGTTACTAAGGCAGGACTATAAAACAAGTATACAAAAAAATCTATTAACAATATGAAAGCAATAATTAGCTACCTACTATAATAAAACCATTCATATGAGTATCAGAAATATATCCCCAGAATTTCTGTAATAGTGTGCAAGATACTATTTAAACAAATTGATGCTTACTCTGTTTTTGGACAGAAAAAATTAATGTTACAAAGATTCAAATTCTGTCCAAATAAATTATGAATTGTACTATTCAGATTTTGCGGGTGGCAGATGAAAGGAACCCAGATAAAACAAGATTAAGCAAAATGCCCTCTCCCCAGAAAAAAACAATCCTTATTCATATTATTCATAAAATGGGGACCTGATCTGCTCAGGCACAGCTCAATCCAAGAATCAGATGCTGCCATGAGCACGCTCTTTTTACTGGCTTCCCTCTCAGACCAGTATCTTCATGTGGCTTCAAATGGCTCTTGGCAGCTCAAACCTGGTATTATTCTCATAACTGCTTATCCCAAATTAAGGGAAAATGAGCTGCTACCAATAAAATAAATGTAGATGAAGCACATAAGTTTTGATGGTTAATGGCTCCCAGAGTAAAAGGCAGTAATTTGGACATTCTGAGCCTCACAAGGAAATACACAACACCTCTTGCATGCTTACCCACCCAAACCACAGAAAACTCTGGCTTTAACTTTCATGTTGTAGAAAACAAGGGGAGAAAGAAAGATATAAATGACCTCATGGAGTGTCAAAAGTCCAGATAATGGGAAGATGGAAAGTGAGAAGTCAGCACTTTTTTTCTATACTGAGGACCAAAGCCAAGGACTTCACCCTGATCTACAATCCCAGATGTTTGTGAAGTTTTTATTCTGAGACAAGGTCTCACTAAGTGCCCATGCTGTGCTTGAATTTTGGATCCTCCTACATGTTATTTCTTCATCTAACAAACTACTGTGTAGGAGAAAAAAATAGAAGGAAGGGAGAAATACGAGACTAAAAGGCACATTGATCATACCATATTTTGTGGCCATTGACTAGAGATTTAATATTATTATAGAACCAGAAATCTTCTAATGTGCAATAGTGATGCTTTTTGTTTTTAAAGAGGTCTAATTTGTTAGAGGACTATTAATGTTATAGGTTGGAAAATTCTTTTTTTGTGTTCAGTAACCTTATAACTTCACGTCTAGAGTATTATCCTATGACAGTGAAAAATGTAATCAAGGACATCTACACAGAATTATTTAGAGTAAAGCCATGTATAATAGCAAAATAAGCCTGTGTTTTGGGGAGATTTATATATTATTCAGAGAGGAAAGTGAAAGAAATTGTGGTCACTCATATGACAGTGTTGTGCATCCATTTTCAATGACAAAGATAGGAAATTGTTATGGACATGCACATTATTATGGCCTAATATCAAAATGAGGCAGTAGCATTCTTCCTGTTGATAACCAGTTAGCTAGACATATACTGTATGTATATATACACAGTATGATCTCAAGGCAAGATATATTTTTACATGGATAAAAGGCTGAATAAACCAAAACTTTAAATGATCATACATTATGTATTTTTTACAGTATCTTTTACGTTTTATTTATTTTGTAGGTATTATTTAAGAGTTATATTTTAATTATGATTAGACAAATAAGAAACATCTATTTTAAAATTAACAAAGCACTAAACTCCTTAAGAGTCATTTTTAATAGCTCCAAATAATTTTAAAAACGTTAAAACATCTTAATCTGTATGAAGAAGTGGAAAGAAATATGACAGAAATTTTCATAGAAACATTTAAGGAGACATTTTTGGTGCTCAAGGAACTAATATTTAGGTATGTAGAGATCATTAATAGTATAGAGTGAAGAAGAATTACCATGTGCGGTTGGTTGTTATTGTTCTGCATATCAGTTCTGGACTGGCATTCTGCTCTATTTCTATTTTGATTTCTTTTGGAATCTCAAGCAGAAAACAAGACTGTTGATTTTGTTTGCTTATTTGCAGGCCTCCAGACAGTGGGGATATTCCGAGTTGGAAGCTCAAAAAAGAGAGTGAGACAAGTAAGTGAAAAATGAAGATTATAGTGTCCATTTTTCTTGACGCTTAATTAAACTACCATGTGCAAACTTCAGGCTTATGCAGAGTCCCCCCAAAGTACCTTTACCCTCCAACTGATTATAGTATAATTAACTGCCAGGACGTGAAGCAGCACAACTCTAAAGGTCTTCAAAGTTGCTGTAGAGTTAGGATCAAATGGTTGAGAGAAAATGTCTGGAAGTGTCTGTGCCATTTCCAGCCAAAAAAATACCGCTGTTATAAACAATTTACTAAATCTGTGAAAGGATGAAATTCAAAGAGTGCCTAATCAGTGAGTTACAGTAAATAGAAAATCACTGCATAGCCCCCATTTTCACAAAAGTTTGTGGGGTTTTTTTTTTGTTTGTTTGTTTGTTTTTTGCGGTACCGGGGATTGAACTCAGGACCCTGTGTTTGCCAAGCAAGCACTTATTCTACTGAGCTATCTCCCTGGCCTCCTTCACAAAAGTTTGGCACAACAAAATTCCATTAATATTCTCATCACATAAGGTGCCAAGTTTAGCCCCTTTACTTCCTTTTTTAAGTTCACTGTATTAATATACCTCCAATATACATAATGATCGCACGTGATACATCCTCACTGTTCTTTTGTTGCCCACTCCCCTCTCCTCTTCAACTCTTATTCCCCTCCCCATTTACAAAAGCTTTGTTTCCACTCTTCTTCCTTCTATTCTCTTTTTTTTTTAAATTTTCTCCTCCTTTACTCCCCTTGCTTGGTCCCCTTCTCATTTCAACATTTTTTTCCTGCTCCTCAGTATATATCATCCATTTTATTCCTTATTTACACTTTGAGTTACTTACATGAGAGAAACAATGAAGTATTTACACATGTGTGTCCAATTTATTTCACTCAAAATGGTCTCAAGGTGCACCCATTTACCTAAAAATGCCTCCAATTTATCCTTTTAATGGAAGACTTACATTTATAAAGTACATTTCCGTTCATCAATTTGTGGCCATCTGGGCTGTTTAGAAGACTTAGGTCTTCCAACTTGTGCTGCTATAAACATGAGTGTGCATATATTTCTCTCGTACGATGCTTGCACCTCTTTCAGGAAGATACCAAGAAGAAGAATAGCAGAGTCAAATGGTACCTACAGTTTGATTTGGTGAGCTATCTCCATACTGATGTGCATGCTGGCTGTACCAATTTACCCTCCCACCAATAGGAGAGAAGGGTTCCTTCTTCCCCACAACCTCACCATATACATTTACTTCTCAAAAATAAACAATTCTGAAGTTTCCATGGAGCCACTGATCCCCAATTCAAGTTTCATGAGAAGAATAGTCTTTGATTTTGTCACAACATTCTTACAAAAGTTTAATATTAGACCATTAAGCACAGGTTTGTCTAATCAAACAGGTGTCTGGGTTCATGAAGGCTTCATAAAAGACAAATAATCCTCTAAAAAGAAGTCATTTCTTGGTCAAAGAAAATTAAAATGCTGTTTTCCCTCTGTTGCTCTTAACAAAAGGACATCAGTGATTCAGTGATTCAAAAATAAAGCCATGTGAAAATAAGTTTTAGTTGGATGAAGCTGAAGAAATTATATTTGTTCATATTAATTGAAAATAATTTAAATAAATGTTCCCTCATGTATCTCTTTTGTTAAGCTAAAGGGTACTTTCCAAAGAAGAGTGTTTTCTGGTTGGTTTTTAATCTAAATGCTCACACAAGAGACTATTAAATATTTAAAATTTTGCAATGAGACTTGCAAGAGTATAGTACAGCAACACTTCTTAGGTCCATATCCGTGCAATACTACAGAATATTTTCACAAATATCATCTCCCTGAATTTCCCCACCAGCTATGCACCTAGCTGCCTTCACTCCCTGCTTTCAAGGCTTAGAGAAATTTAGAAATTGGATTCCAGATCTTACAATTTAAGTAGTCACACTGACTTCACAGACAAAGCTCTTTCCACAGTCCATTCTTTCTGCATGTGTGTGTGCTCAGAAAAGAAACATGGAGGGCCTGGCTAATGGCAGTTGGAGTGGCACTGGTAGAGGGCCTCTTCATTCTGGCTGCCTGACACACATTCATGTGGAGCTGGCTGGAAGCAGTGAGAATTTCAGGGCAGCAACAGGGATTCTAATCAGGTGGGCAGATGGCAAGTGCCAGATCATATTCATCATTTATGTCTGTATCCACCAAAGGGAAAATCTTTGCATGGAAATTATTTAGGGTTTCCCTACTAAATATATCATTAGTGGTCACTAAGAGTTGGATTCTGAATATGACATATATTCTAATGCACTCAGCATTTTATTTTATTGTGTCACTTCATAGCACCCTATATTTTTTTCTTCAGGAGCACTCATCAAAACTTTAAGAGCTAATCATTTGTAGGATTACTTGATTATCACCTCATCTCTCTACTAGTCTGAGAGATGGAGGAGGGTAAGGACTTTGACTCCTCTCTTTGCCTTTACCAGTGTGCTTTAAGAGCCTGTAGAAAAGGCTGGTACACAGAGAAAAGGCAGCAAATCTTTGTTGAATAAGTGGACAAATTAATGACTGAACAAATGAACTATTATAGAATTTTATGGCACAGTGTAGATTCATTGCTATTTCTACAAGAGAGAACAATGCGTAAGAATAGTTAAAGACAAAAAGAAGAAGAACCGGGGTATGGTAGTGCACTGCTGCAGTTCCAGTACTCAGGGAGCTGAGGCAGGAGGTTCATTTTTGAGTTTTTGAGATTGAGACCAGCCTGGGCTACAAAGTGAGCTCAAGGCCAGGATGAACTGCATAGCAAGACCCCATCTCAAAAAGACAGAGAGAGAGAGAGAGAGAGAGAGAGAGAGAGAGAGAGAGAGAGAGAGTGTTGAGCCATCAGAGTGAAAGCAAGAGATGAGCTTACTATCTTCTTCTTTCTACTGTGTTTTCCAGTGGTTATAAATTGTAATGGACTTAGTTATGATTAGGGCAAGGAATTCATCTGATTCATTGTTCATAAGGCTACTTTGACAGATCTAGCGCAGATTTTATTTAAATAATGTCATCTTGTAAGACTCAGTCATGAATATCTTATCAGGATTTTTAGTTTGCAGAATGATATCCTTGCTTCCTGTTACTTCAGTGTACTATCAAAATGTCAGCATGGTAAGATTGGTGGCATATAGAGCTGTTGTGTAACAGACTAATTTCTCCCTTCCATGTTCATTAGAATTCCTTAACTTTTTCCAACCTTTTGGCTGAATTTTTTGAGTCCTTTAGTTTACCTCATTAATAGCAAATCCACCAATAGTTTTATTATATATAGATATTCATCTATATTACATATTATTTATATTATATTATATCACAGCTAAATTTTTAGACTTTGAAAATCAGTACAACATGCTGTTTGTTAAACATAATACTAAGTGTCATGCATCAAAGCATTTTTCTTGGTTAACAGTTAACATCGAGGTATGGTGTTAAGTGACTGTCACTTGCCACATTATTGTTGCAGTTACGTGAGGAATTTGACCGAGGGGTTGATGTCTCTCTGGAAGAGGAGCACAGTGTTCATGATGTGGCAGCCCTGTTGAAGGAATTCCTGAGGGACATGCCAGACCCTCTTCTCACCAGGGAGCTGTACACAGCTTTCATCAACACTCTCTGTACGTAACACAGCCATATTTATAGGAAATGTCCTTGAAATACCAGGATGTCCAGCTCACTCATCAGAACTTTGTACGTGTACTTTCTGACAGCTGCTATTGTCCTTATTTATCAGTCTCTAATGAATGGACTATTTGGGGAATTTTCTGAGATTTACTCTGGGGAGAATTAGCAAGAAGAAAGTCTCAAGTCTCAATAAAACAAATGGAAATGGACAAAAAGAATTTGGGATGCTTTCAAATGACCCCCAGGACAATAGAGAGTGCCATAAATTGATGACTTGGAGTACCAATGAGATTTCTTGTTGAGTCTGTGCCTAAATATGAATTGGTATTTCTGATATGAGGCAGTCTAGGACTCAGAATAACTCAGAATGAAAAAGGGGAAGCAGGCAGCATTTCAGGAGAAGCAAGACAGCATAGCCACGCGGACTCTTAGGACCTTTAGCACAGCAACTTCTGAGTATAGATAAAGACCAAGTGGAAGAGGAAAGGAGGTTGGGGAAGGAAACATAGGCCAGAGTTGTATCGCTATGCATCCACATCTTCCCCTGAAGCTGTGACTTAAATGAGCCCTCATCAGAGACGGGAGACAGTGTCTGTGCCATGCCTGCGTATTACCGATGAAAAATTTCCCCTTGTCTATGCTCAACCGAAAAGGGCCTCTGATCCATTACAAAGTCAAATTTCAGAGCACCAACCAATTCTGAGCAATATCTTTACCAACATGTGACTGAAATCCATTAAATCTACATGATAAATACTAGAGAAAGGACAGAAAAGAAAGTAAGGAGAATGCAGTTGCCTTTCTCATAATTCTCTAGGTGGTACATTTCTCCAAGTCTAATTGTTTTTATATCTGTCAGAGAGTCTTGTGGCTAAGCTGTTAAAGGAGTGAGATAATGGATGAAGGCACAGAAATGTGTTTGCCTTGGTACCCTCTCTATTAAGACAACTGAGAGAAGACCATCATTCCTCCTTTATGTGTGAATGACCCAAGCTTCCCCTCCTCTAACTTACAACATGTCTTTGTGCCTTGAATAGTGTTGGAGCCAGAGGAACAGCTGGGCACCTTGCAACTCCTCATCTACCTTCTACCTCCCTGCAACTGCGACACCCTCCACCGTCTCCTACAGTTCCTCTCCACTGTGGCCAGGCACGCCGACGACAATGTCAGTAAAGATGGGCAAGAGGTATGCCCCACTTGCTGCTGTGGACCCTGTGACTCATCCCTTCCCACGTTTTCACAGGGGTGAGGCAGAAACATGACCAAATATTTCAGAAGGAGAATATGATGCCTCTCTGTCTCTGACCCTACTTGGGAAGAGCCTGCCCTAAAAGGACAATTCCTAGGAGCACATCAGTCATTATCCTTCACGCATGTTTCAAGGTTGCTTTCAGGCACGGTTGTCAGTTTTCATAATGATGCTTTATTGAAGATCTTGAGTTCTATTTATGAGAAGACAAACAGCGGTCTATAGAGGCACTTTTACTTATATAAAAGCACAGTAGTGGAGGTGAGAAGAGGCTATCTGGAAGAGGCTACCATCCTTGATACTGCCTTGATCTATGTAACTTAGGGCTAAAATATGCTAGTCCCTCTGTTCTTCTAGTTTGTTCCTAGAGCTCTCATCTACACTATAGGAAGAAATACCATATTTCCTAATTGAAGGGTTCTTTCTCCCCATAAACCTTCTCCCCAAACTAGGGACTTGCTGAATGCAATGGGAGTCCTTCCTTATTCCAGGTCAGATGTAGAAGGTACTGGAAGGTCTGTCTTTGCTAATGCATCTTTTTTTTTCTTGTGGTGATACTCACAATGGAACCCAGGGCTTCAAATATGCTAAATGAATGTTCTACCATTTAGCTACATACCTGAACTTTGGACATGGCATTTTGATGGCACATGGTGTTAACTGCTAGAGGCAGGTTCAACACAGTACCATGGATCCTTTAGATATATTCTAGTTCAATCTGATCCCAACTTAGGCCTCTGTGTGATATTTCCACACCCAGGAATCTGAGGTTTTAGGCTCTGGTTTTCTTTGGTCAGCATTCATGCTTCAAAGTGTTTTGTTTTTTCATCTTTAGACAAATGAGATGCTGGGCTCCATTTTAAGGGGTCTACCAAGAAACACCCCATTTGAGTCTTCTCCTTCAGAAGAGACCTCTTCCCCTTTGATTACATGCAGTCACACTTCTCCCTGTCATTGGAATTCCCAGGAAGTTTCAAACTCTTTAATATGCTAACATGCCTGGAAATCCATAAGGGCAAGAGGCATTCACAACTTACTCAACCACAGGAAAGTAAATCCCTGATAAGCAGAGCTCAACTGTCTCACGTATTCAGTTCTGTGCTTATCAAATATAGCTCCCAAAGGACATGTCCATATATAACTTTTTACTCTAATCAAGAAAAGCAATCCTGCATATCTTATCCTTCTCCTCCTCTGGGTAAGTGTGAGAATGGAATTTTTCCTGAGTTAGTCATTTGTCTCCATAGGAGTTATAATTAGTGAAACTCTGCTGGGTTCAGGTTTTGTAATAGTGTCCTGATACCTTATTTCAGCATATGCAGTTCTTTGATGGTAGACTGTAATTCTCATAATTGTTATATTACCTGTCTGGGTGTCAGCCTTTATGCAAATATAACAGAAGCTGTGGAGTTATGTGTCTGATGACTGAGTAAAGACAGAGTCCTGTCTTGGAAGATAGACCAATTGTCTCTCTGACATTTCTTGAGTACTATCTGAAAAGAAGAGTCTCAAGTGATTAAGATTAAGAATTTCTTCAGTGTAAGGAAAGGAAAATTTCCAGTTGAGCTCAATGCTTTTACAGAATCATCCTCAGACATTCTTTCAATCCAAAGGCTATGCAATAAAGAAAAGAGTATTATTGGATAGGTATAAATGAAACTTTGCGTACTACAGTACTAGCTAACATTTATGCTTTATCTACCAATTGATGACTTTGTATCAGATATATAGATGGACAGATAGAGACAGTAGCTAATTCTCCTAATAGAAAAAAAGAATTATCATTATCCTCATATTTTAGGGCTAGAACTTAAGAGCCAAAGGAGTTCAGTAACTTACCCAGCATCCCACAGTGAATAGCACAATTCTGGGGGAGATGCCATGTGTGCTGTCGTCACTATGGATCTGTGGAGTTATTAGCACAATATCCCAGCTGATAACAGTAAAAGATCTTGAATAAGAGCCCCTTTTCCTATTTCTCACAAAGTCATCCTACCACTAGGTCATGTTTCTTCCATAACTAGTACATGCCCAAATGTGCGTCAAGTGCAAATCAACCTGATTTACTGGGAAAAGAAATGTAGAATAGGATTTAGAAGCAATAAAATAAAACTCTCCTGGTGTCTAGTTCGGGGTTGCCCAGCTGCTGCACAATAGATATTCGAGGCAAAGTCGTCCTTTGCTGTGAAAGTTGCCCTTGCCTTGTAGGTTGTTTAGCAGTATACTATCCTCTACATATTAAATTCCAGTAGTAGCATCCACCCATCTACACACACACACACATACAAGCTGTGACAAACTAACATACCTCCAAACAATGCCAAGTTTCTCCTTAGGTCATGAAGAACCAAAATCATCATCTGTGTTTAAGAATATCTGGCTATTCTCTAATTCACTGGCCATGTGTTCTTGGACAATCTATTAAAATTTCTAAACCTAGATTTCCTTATCTTAATTTAGAGAATAAAAGCTCTTCATTTAAGAGCCAGGTATGATGACAGGCACCTGTAGACTCAGCCACTAAGAAGGCTGAAGCAAGAGGATTGATTGAGCCCATGGGTTTGAGCCAGCAAAATTCCTCTAAATATCAGTCAATCAATCAATCTTCGACTGGTATTGTGCAGTGCCTGAGAAGCCTAATTTACTTTCAAGAATATGAAGCATCCAGATGTCTTGGTTTAAGCCATGCTTCAAAATGAATGACTAGAAACCAGCTATTAAAGCAGCATGGAGAAATATAAGGACAGTATTGCTTTTTTGAAAAGGTTAGCAGTGACAAGAAAACAAGTGGCTTGTGCAACCATCTCAGACTCAAGGAAAGGGTACTAAGGGGGGAACAACACTGGGCCACACTTATAGGCTGTGGAATGCCTCGTAGGGGTAGGTGGTTGGTTCCTTTAAAATGTGAAAATCTGGAAGGATTTGGTAGCAAATTATGTAACCCACACTATAGACGGTTTAGAAACAGGGAGAGTAAGATAGGAAGGTCCAGTGTCACTGGTAATATGGGAAACAACAGTCTCTTTATAAATGTTTCCATTTAAATATGGCCTTGGTATTTGAATCATGTATGTCCTTGACACCTGCCCTGAGCTCTTCTAAAGCAGTGATCATTGTTCTGGAATTTTCCAGTGGCTGTTCCAAGGATGCTGCGACTTATAAGAGGAGGAAGAGATGAGGATACAAGACAAACATAAAATCAGGGAGTGCAGTATGGAGTCACTGTAGAAGTGCTGGGGAGATAGCTCAGCAGTGCAGAGCCTGCCTGGCAAGCTCAAGGTCCTGAGTACGATTCCTGGTACCAAAAAAAAAAAAAAAAAAAAAAAAAAGGAAATACAGAGCCTTTAAAGAAACTCAGAGAAGGGATGTATGTGGTTTACATGAGTTTGGAATGACTCTGTGGGGGAGAACTGACAGAAATGATATATCAAATGTTGTATAGGGATTGAGTAAATGGGCCCTGTAAGCATGCTACGTGAGTAAGAGTTACTTACACCCCTGGTAGAAGTGAAGGATCAAGGGAGAGGAACAAAAACTAGGTTATTTGTTTAGCATATTTTTTTAGTTGCTTTGGCATGCGCCAATAGAGAACAGAGAACAGATAGACTAGAGGGAGGGTAAATGCAAAATGTAAAATGTGGTGAGGAAATAAAGCATTTTTCAACTTCTCATATATTTGTTAGTTTGTATTTGTTAGCTTATTGTTTCATGGACTGAAGTATGAGAAAGAACTGAACCAGATTGTGGAAAGGCTTGAATAATCACACAGGTTCTGCCAGAACCTTGCTGCCTGACCTTGTCTTTGTGATAGAGAGGAAGAGGAAGGAAAACAGGGTTGAGGTCAGGGAAGGCCTGAACTTCCTCATCTATAAAATTAACATACTACTTCCTCTCTAATAGGTGTTGAAAATTGAAAGCATCATTAGCTAGTGGGATCTTTAAAAATGTCTAAAAGTAGTTGTGAGAAAAATTGTTGACTAATCAGTGCATTTTTGGAGAAAAAGAGTGGTATTTTACTGAATTGCGGTATTTTGCCAACTTATGTGTACTTCGTGTCATTAATTTCGTTGAGTTTGTTATTTGTAGTGCCACTTAAAGAAAATAGAAACTCCCAAATGTAAGAAACATCCCAAACAGTACTTTTCCGGAGTCCAAGAAGCCCCAGCATTGCATGGAAACTATGGTGTAAGTGTGTACTTGTTTGGTGAGAGAGTTCATAGCTGGCACTGAGTTCTTAAAGGGACGTTTGTGGGGCAAAATAAACCAGTGTGTAGTTGTTATTGCTGATCTAGAGGAGGTTCGTGCCTCTAGGAAGTGGTATTTTTGCTTTGGAATTTTGGCACAACCAGTGCTTTTCTGGCCTCAGCCTCTTTCAGACCTGCTTTAAAACTCATTTTTCCCATCTCCCCATTGCCACGGCAGGATCTTCCACACCAGAGTGAACGGCAGGAGATGACAAAGATTTTAGGGCTTCCTGGGGTACAGCTGTCAGCTTAGCTTCTTCCTAGACCACCTTGGGGTTTGGGGCATCACTGTTCCCCCATTCTGTTTATTAAGCAGCACAACAGCAGCTGGTTCATAAACTTGTAGCAAATAAAGACGTAAGATGGTCTGTGGGAAGCCCCTAGCTCGGTGTTTGTACACACTAGATTTTTAATAAATGTGAGCCTTTTAGGAGGTCTAAACATGACGTATGATACTTACATAGTGAAGGTAAAAGTTTGCCTGCACAGGCCAGCTAATTAAGTCATGCAATCACAGCCTGGCCTCAAATGTATATATTGCTGAACTGCTTCGTAGGGTTATGAATGTATGCAGCAATGGAGAGCAAGGGTGGAAGATGTTGGGGAGCAAGACTCCTTTCCAGTTTAAAAACAATAAAACAACAAAACAAAACAAAACGTGGTAACAAACCACAGCAGTTTGGTCTGCAGCTGGAATCTATGTACAATTTTACAGACAGATTGTATTGCATTCCCAGAATAGCAACCAGAGAAGGAGAGAGCGGAAACAGAGCTCCAGATCATCCTTGTTCTAAACATTCTTTTAAAAGAAAACAAATTCTTCTATTTGTTAATGTTAAAGAAAAGAAGACGATCCTAATAGTGCTTTAAAAGGGAGAGGGGAAGCCTTCCAGACACCTCTGAGTTCTGAAGGGAGGAATCTGAAAATGACACATATTTTATTTTTTCCTTAACCATGAATTTCCAGGAAGGGAAATGAAAACATGTCAGGCTTTATATTAGTGAAATAAAACAAAGAAAAATAATTGAAGGTCCTGCACAAGAGGTACTTCCTGGAAACTCTAGCGTTCTCCGCATGGAATGGCTTCTGTTGGTTTACAAAACATTTACCTGAAAACAGCCTTACCTTAAGCAAATCATGTGGCCTACCAGAGGTGCAGGGCGGGTTAGCCACCAGTTGTAGGTGCCTCAGGATGAGGGTGAGATGCATTAGAACTTGTGAATTCCGTGTAGATACCCATGTGTTTCTCAGAAGCTGCATAGATCTTCCTGGGGAAGATCCTCATCCTGAGAGTCCTGGCTTCTCAGCTGAACACTGAAGAGAGAAGTAGAAGTTCACACGTGCACCAATAATTCTCCAACATGGCAGGGGCTGTTGGCTGCTACGAGCACGTAGAGGACCAGGGCCACTCACCATCTGACAACACACAGGGCCGTTATAATCTGGCCCCATTGTCTTCAGTACCAAGACAGAGAAACTCCGGCTTATACAAACTTAGCCAGGTTCTCCTTTCCATGTGAAAAAGAAGCAAGTAAGTAAAAACAAACAAACATGCAAACATCAAAACAATATTCAAGCCTTTAGCAGTTCTTATATTCCTTAGTATGACAATTTCACTTGTGGAATTTATTCCTACAACAGAGCTGAGCCAAACTCACAAAATTTATTTTTTGAAGATACTTTTGTATTATATTTTATAATAACAGAACATTGAAAACAGCATAAATACCCATCACTTGGCTGTAGTTAAAGTCAATCATGATCTCTTCATGCAACAAGATGCACCAGGCTAAAGGGAAAGAATTTTTTGAAATTGAGCAATTAATGTACCATACTGCTAAGAGACAATAAACAAGTTACAAAATAATATATGGAGTGGGATGCCAATTTTATAAAATAAAGAATGTATTTATGCATACTGATTCCTGGTGCTTGACTAAGTTTTAATGCTAGTCTTTTTGGCATCCATGTTCCATGGCCCCAACTTTGCCAGCACTTACTTTCTACTGAAACTGCAAATTTTGCACATCTGCTCCTGAATGTCACTGTAGATCTGGCTGAAATCTTCCAACAGTACCCATGAGTGAATATTGAGCTGATTTGTAATTTCTTATGTAAGATTAATTAGTCTACCACTTTTAAACTCAGTCTCCTGTAAGGTCTCAGGACATGGGCAAAATGTAGACAAACTTTCTGCCAGAAATAGGATGGCAGGGGCCGGCCAGATAGCTCAGCAGACTAAAGCACCTGCTTAGGCAAAGCGCAGCAGCTGGGATTCGATCCCCAGCATGCCGTGCCGGCCCCATCCCCAAGGTGCACTGAGAATGTGGTTGAGACTGGGCGTGGCGGTGTGCACCTGTAATCCCAGCACTTGGGAGGCTGAAAAACAGAAAGAATGACTACGAGACCAATTTGTGTAGTGAGACCCTGTAGACCTGGTACTAAATACGTAAAAAAAAAAAACCAAAACAGAGAGAGAGAGAGAGAGAGAGAGAGAGAGAGAGAGAGAGAGAGAGAAATAGGATGGCAGAAGAAGATGGTGGAGTTTAAGCAACCCATGGCATCTAGAAAGGAGAGTGAGAGAAAGGAGGAGCTTGGGACAAGGTCAGGTCACACCTCCAGAGATTCGCCTCCAAGCAGCCTCCTCCTCCTAAGAGAAAGTCATGTGTAGCACTCGTGGCACTCCATAATTCGATCACTTCCTAAACACACGGGACATTTGGAAGACATTTTAGAAATAAAGCATCACTGTGTATACATACGTATGCACATAGGAAAGCCTACAAGCAGCTGGCTTGGTGGAAAAGGTGGAAATATGGGCATTTTGTTTCTGTATGCCTACTTGTGCTTTGTACTCATTCATACATTGGATGCAAATAATTTCTTTATACTTCAAACTGAAGAATATTTCCCTTTGCTTGGCAGGCTGGTGCATGCCTATAATCCCAGCACTCAGGGAAGCTGAAGCATAAACGCAAGCCCAGGCTGAGCAACTGAGCATCTTAACAAGACCTTGTCTCAATAAATAAATAAATAAAAGCCTGGGGACATAGCTGAGTGCAAAGACTGGTTTCATTTCCCAGTTCTGCAGAAAAAAAGAAAGTTCCTATTTTTCACCCTGCACACCCTTTTTTTTCCTCCCATCTTTGTTCTTTCTCCTTATCTGTGAGACCTTTTGAAGAAAGGGTCTCCACTCACTGTTTCCACTTCCTACCACACCACTGAAATGGCTCTGAGCTAGACCATTAGAACCATCAGGGCGTCTGATCTGGAGGGGTGTGTCATATGAGTATCTCAGTGAATATTTGCCACAGGGGCTAGCACATTTGAACTTCTGCTCCACTCTCCTTATGCAGAGTCCTCTTGCCTGAGTCACCATCTGCACTCTTTTCTCTCATCTGGCTTTGTCTGGCTTTCCTGCAGCAGCCTGGCTACACTTGGCTTCCTGGCACTCTGACACATTGCACATGTTTGGCATCGTCTATGGTATTTGCTCCACCGTGAAACAGACCCTTTCCCAAACTCTCCGCTTTTCAGCCTTGCAGGCTCTATTCCTCCTCTCAGATTATAGAACAATGCTGACACCTCTGTAACAGTGTTCCTAGAGTCTCCGGAATTGACAGTTTCATTCTTTGTACTGACTGCCCCAAAATGATGTTTATTTTGTTCCTAGTACATGAGGCATTTTAAGTAATGACTGTGCTATAAGCATTGGCAGAAGAATTTTAAATAATTGTAATCCATGAAAAATGGCTAGCCACAGTAGGTGTTGAGTGGATTGATCAATGGAGAGACTGAATTCATGGGTAAATGAGGGAAAGATATGAATTCATGGATGGATATCAATATTTTTAAGTGCAGACAGATTGGAAATTTTATATAGTACCAGTTTGACAATGAAATATAGTGTTGCATTTTTTTGTGGAACCAGGGATTGAACTCAGGCCCTTGCACTTGCCAGGTAAGCGCTTATTCTACTGAGCCATGTCCCTGGCCCGTGTTACAAATTTTTAATCAATATACTACTGAGATGAACACTGAGCTATTAACTTTTATCCAAGACACAAAGCAAAAGGAAAATGATAGCTCTCCTTGTGGTTTTTGACAGACATAATGCCCTTATAACAAACAAATGGAAAGGAAAGTTTCATTGATAAAAGAGTCACCAGCATTTTGGAAAGCAAACATAACAACAGTGCTGGTATTCTCTTCTGCAACAGGTCACTGGCAACAAAATGACATCTCTAAACTTGGCCACCATATTTGGACCCAACCTACTGCACAAGCAGAAGTCATCAGACAAAGAATTCTCCGTCCAGAGCTCAGCCCGGGCTGAAGAGAGCACAGCCATCATTGCTGTAGTGCAGAAGATGATTGAAAATTATGAAACACTGTTCATGGTAGGTGACCATTCGGTGGCAGGACATCTCAGTGAACTGCATCCTGATTGCCTGTGATATACAATGAAACTCAAGTTCACCACCTTCTGATTTGCAATGCTGGTAACTGACTATAGTCATTGGAAGTCAGTTTGTTTCCATAGGAATAGACATTTTTATAACTGCTTTCACTGCTAGTTTATGATTCCATTTTTAAACAAACATGCAAAAATTGAAAACTTCGTTTTGTTGTCCCCTAAACAGCAATCAAATTTTGGAGTCATTTACTCCAAAAGCAGTGGTCCAGGCTGAGAATATTTTTGATAAAAGTTTTCTTTTACGAATTCTATTTGCAGTCCACACGAATTCATGTATTCATAACCAGACTTGATGACCGCACTTTGCCCAAGGTCAATCTTGACAATCTACCTCCAGCATGAAATTTCACCTTTCCTTCCTGTGTCCTTCCATGTCACTTCCATGCCACTTCTCTGTCTGTTGAACTCCATTACTGTTCTTATTAATGTTTATCTTACTCGACATTGTGTTATGGTCATTTATGATCATTTCCCCTAGTAGATTATATATCCATTTAAAACAAGGGCTATGCCCTTGTTATCTCCTCTCTGTATCCTCTGTACACTTTTGGAAGGCCTTCCATCTGGCAGACACTCAATAAATATTTTTTTGATTTGTATTGAGTTACCAGTTCCTGTTTTCCTTCATGAAATTGCATGGCTTGCTCCAACTTCCCTTGAAACATTAGAACAAATGCCAATTCCCTTCTATTTCTATTCTCCATTCATATTGCAGGTTAAAACTTATAGGAACTTTCTCCATGCTCGTCCCATTTTTCTTGTCAATTTGCAAACATCATAAAGCCTACCTATTCCACTAGATCCTTTTGTAGCTCCTCACCCAAGAAGGTTGATCGACTCTTGAATCTCCTCAAGAGTTTTGTCTATGCATATCAAATACCTTGTTTTGGATTTATCTTTAAGCTTGTTGAATGCCATTAAAAAAACAACTCAAGATACAGTGATTTAGAATGGTTGTGCTCTGTGTCTCACCTATATGATTGTGATCAAGTAATTCAATACTGATTGGGCATCAAATGAAACTCCTGTGAAAGGCCTAATTCCCATAGTGGTTAGCAAAATCATTTGATGTGTGAAAGCATTCCACAAATTGCAAAAGACTAAGCAAGTGTTAATTTCTAATTATGTTATTTGAGCAGCACAAGCTGGTTCATATCACCATACTTTGACACTATAGACATAAATAAGCTATTGATATAATGATTAATCAAATATGTGGTGGACAGTCTTTTAGGTGGTGACCAAACTAATCACAGTTCTTTGCATCTGGAGACTCTGCCATCCCCTATGATTATATGGGCCGAGGAAGAAAGAGCATCTATTGTATATCCCCAAGCCCTACCCTATGTATCCACAAGGCACACTTAACTCCAAGAGGGGCTGGGAAATGCATTCTAGCTGAGTGCCCCAGAGGAAGAGAAAATGAATTTACCATGGAGAAAAGTTCACTGAGGTAGAATATTGTCTTGATCTTTTGCGTCCCTGAGGCATAGTCCCTGTGTTGCACATGGGAAGTAAGCTCTCAAAAATGTTGATTTAATCATTGACTCTATATAAATTTCATACTTTACCGCAAATCCTTGTAATTAATTTCATGTTTGGATGAATCAAATGTCTGAACTTTTCAACATGTTCATCAGGTTTTTAAGTCACATATCATCTTGCCAACTAGTCTTGGCAATACTTCATGTTCTCTGAACTTTTTTTAACAAAATAATAGTTCTCATCTATCTTAATTCTATTTTCTAAATTCTGTTTTCCAAGCAAAGTTCTCCTTTATATGAAACGACAAACCATTACGCATTTCTTTTCACCTCAGAAACAAAACTTTCTTGAAAGTACAGCTGCCATCATTTTAATTGTGCCATCTATCTTTTCCCTATTTCCCGCCACCTGGATAGCCAGGAACAGGAGAAAATGACCAGCATTCCTCTTTCCCCAACTTTTGCCCAGTTTGATGTGTTTATCATTTTCTAAGAAGATTGATGTCAAAACTGTCCTGGGCTATAGCTCATATGTAGTTTCCCAAGTGATGGGCTTTTCCTCTTAAGGAGGCTTTTCCTGACTACCTTATCTAAAATGCAGCTCCTCCACCACCACCATGTACATACACACACTCCCTCCCTCCCTCCCTCCCTCCCTGTTGCTGTTTCCTGCTTTTTCCCCTTAACATTCACCATTACTAATGGAGAATTTTGTTAATATTTCTTCTTTCTTCTGTTTCCTTACTAAAATGTGAATTTTTGTCCATTCCCAGCCACTTGACTGCATTATTTCTGTTCATGGGACCTGGCAACACAAAAATATACATTGAATTAGTGACTGATTTTATGGGACTTCTATAGGGTATGATCCCCAATTTACCAGTCCTTACCATGTACATGTGTGAAAAGGTTTGGAGATAAGAAGTACTGAGGATATCTGTTCAGCAGTTAGTTAACCACTAATGTAATCATTCTTGATCTCCTTAGATTATGGGAATCGTATACTGACAGTAAAGAGAACAATAAAGTAGGATGGGGGACAAAGATTCCAAGCCTAGATCTATACAAATAAACTGGGATTCAAAAACTTTACTGTAGTCCTGTCCGCTATGCGTTAGCCACATGAACACATCTTCTATGATTTCTATTTGTTTTGTTATCCAAGGACTGTGCTTGAATGAGTGACATACACCGTACCTTCTGCTTCTGAAATCCTCATAGCCCAATGCTCTAGCACAGCAAACTGCAAACCTTTCGAAGCTTTCAATGATACAAACAGCTGGCTTCAGCACATGTGCCACGGGTTTGCCACCACTGCTGTAACTCTTACTCCCCATCCCCCTTATAGTTCCAAAGAGCACAAAAAATTGATTTCTTCATAATGTGGATTTTCTTAGCATTCTTGGCATTTTTGAGTTTAGGTGGTTACACCGAAGCTGGTGGTTAGTTGGATAAAGTTAGTCTGTGTGGGTGGACAGAAATGTATTTTTTATATATACATAAATAATTTTGCTTTGATTTGTTGTTTTAAGAAGCTTTTGGATTTATTAAAATTTCAAATGAGGAAAAAGAAGGCTGTGTAAGAGCTGATGGTGAAAGGTAGGTAGCAACTGCAGCTTCAAGTCATTGCAAAAATTCATATGATCAGAAATAATGATGTCAGTTTCATTTGGACTAAAAGCAAGATGTGTTAGGCGAGGTGGCTACAGCCTGTCCCTGAAGGCAGAATGTACCCGAGAGGCAGTGATTCCACGGAAGAACTAGTGCATGCATTTGGAAACCCCCAGCAGTCTGGAAGGAGCCCCAAGTTTGTACTCAGTGTCCTTCATTTCCCCATACTGAGACTACCTCTCTCATGTGGCTGGGATCTGACTTAGTGGGAAGGGGCAGATAAAAACCTGGCATTGGCACACAGTACAAATTTAGAGATTAACATACAGTTCAAGAGTCAGGCTAAGAGGCTTGGTTTTTAAGCACTTATCTGTAAATCCTGAAGCTAGAAATACTTCCTGATAGCAAGCATCATGGCAGCTCTATCAACAGACTGAGGCAGCACATTATAATAGCAGTTCTCCAACTGGAGCCACGCAGCGGATTTCACAAGGAGACTTGTTTGGCATTCTGATTCCTAGGCCACTCTACAGAAAGCTGAATGGGTAGCACCAGCATGGGGCTCAGGAATCCGCATTGTTTAATGAACTCCTCCAGGGGATCTGGCAGATTCCTACACATACCCTAGGAAACCTCTTGTTGGGAGATACTGTAGGGTGGAAGGACCTCATGATGAGACTTGAAATGAGTGACCAAAGTCACATTTTTGCACAGCCATTTGTTTGCTGTGTAATCTTTAGTAAATTTCATTTTCTTCTTGTGAAGAAAAGAAGGTGAAGCAACCTATTTCATGGGATGATTTTGACAATTAGAAACAACATTTTAAGGCTCCTGGGACAGGATTGAAATATACCGGGTACTTTAAAAAAGATTGTTGTTATAATACACTGAAGTGGTATGATGCCTGCTCTATCAAAGCACAATCAGGTGCCGCCTTGGTATTAAAGCTCACCCTGACCACTCCGGATGACACCCAGACCTGCTCCCACACATGCCCTTTATTCCTAATCTTGATCTCTTTCGCTATGCCACAGTATTTACCATTTCGTGACTTGTTCTATAATTTATTTATCATAAGTCAAAACCTAAGAGAATACAAACCTTACAAAAACAGGGATTCTTGTTTGTTCTGTTCCCTGACATCTACGCATCTGAAAAGTACTTGGCAGAACAAAGGATGCAGTATTTATTTTTGGAATAAGTACTACAACTCTTTGTCTTTTTCGTTTTCTTTTTTATATATATATTTTTTAGTACAGGGTCTACAGGGTCCCACTATGTAGACTGGACTCATAGTGATCAGCCTGTGTTCAGCCTCCCAGGAGCTGGGATTACAGGTGTGTGCCACCATATCCAGTTTCAATGCTGTCTCAGTATGCCCCAGGGTTGGGGCCCACACTGCAGGCCAGGATTGAACTGCAGCCCCTGCGTCTGCCTAAGCAGGCAGTTGAGTCCATTGAGCTATTTGGTCAGCCCTTCTTTGTCAATGTTGTTTTGTTTGTCTGGATCCCACACTCACACCCTTGAGATTTCTGTACCAAGTATTTAAAAACTGCCTAATGTAAAATGGAACTTTATGGAAGACACTGGAAATAAAAGATAAAGAATCAAGCATTCCTAGAAATAGCCACTGGTGATTTATAAGTAGAAATCATTCACTGACCAAATCATCAACACACTAATTGTTCAGAAAGTTACTGCTTCTATATCTGGTATTGAGAATGTCAGAGTAAAAATGACATTGTTCTTGAATAATTAGAGCTTTGTAGTGGGAGAGGAAAAGTGTCAGCTCACTCTGCCAGTGTGTATTACAGGATTCCTATGAGGG